AGTCAGCAAGAATCCTACATGTTTCCAGAATTTGGTGATCCATGACTGTACTGGAAATTCGATACTATTGAGTCGAAACAGTTTTTGCCGGGATAGTTTGAACTAGTGCTCTTACAGCTACAAAGGAACTCGTTTTTAAATCTTAAATTAGTTCTGGTATTTACCAATTGCTAGTGTAAAAACGCTTTTGGCAAATAGATATAAGAAGATGTGGTATGAGTGCCAATGAGACAACTCTCCATCCAAGTCAAAATTTATAAAAGTAAACCATTATAGGTCACAGTACGGTCTTCAACACGGAGCCTTGGCTCACACCGAACAGTAAGCTATAAAGGGCCCCAAAAAAATACTGGTGTAAAACCATTCAAACGGAAAATTTACTTGTTTGATTATAAAGTCATCATACGTTCTAGGGCGTGCGTTCCTATCATGATTTAGGGGTACTGTTTATAAGACGGCTTTTGAACTTAAGGTTCCTACTGGTAAATTGATGTTATCCCTTCGTACATTTTAATGTAGCACTCATGATTTGGTTGACCCTCGTGTATATATATAACATATTACCGCATATTTACCCCACTTGCTGAATCCACCATCTTGTTCTCCTTTTCCACCAATGTGATTACACTGAATGCGACTTGGCATCGAGTTTTTACATTCTAGTTACCATGATTTACACAACGGATGCGACAGGTAGAGTAGAATTGTTTCCCTTTGTAAGCACTTAGGCCCCTCCGGAGCACCTTAGTTGAAACCCAGTTTTTGTCCATCTATATTTTCAGGTGTAATGTTCTTTGAACTGTCTTCTTGACTTGACATTTTTCTCATTTCCAACTTGACATTTCCGAAATGGGGATTGGAATGTGGTTCCAGTAAGTTTACATTACTAGGAATAAACTTTTCTGTCAATTTGCATGAAACGGAATTGTTGAACTATGGTCCAAGAATAAAAGAAATTGAAAATGTAATAAAAATTTGGTCTAAACAAACATATACACCAACTGGAAAAATAACAATCATCAAGACACTAATTATTTCAAAATTAAACTATCTGTTTTTAACATAACAAGCACCATGCAAAAATACTTTAAAACAACTAATTGATAAAATTTATTCATTTATTTGGGAAAACAAACCTGACAAGATAAAAAGAGAAATATTATGTTTTGGACATAAACTAGGAGGGCTGAAAATGCTAGATATTGACAAATATATTAAAGGATTGAAATTAACATGGATTAGACGATTGTTAAAAACAACCCAAAACTAAATAAGCTATTAGAAAGTATTGAAAAAATTTGTATTCAAAACCTAGTATATTTAGGCCCAACAAAAAGATGTAAAAACCCTTTTTGGAAAGAGGTCTTTAAAGCTTGGACAGATTTTCAAAATAAATGTATACCAAAAAATGGAGAAGAGTTTCTATCAGACTCGCTCTGGAATAAAGAAAATATTAAAATAGGAACAACATCTATTTTCTATAAAGACTGAGCAAATAAAGGGATCTTTTTGATACATGATCTGTTAGATGATGAGGGTAAACTAATGACTTTTCAACAATTCCAAAATATTTATAAAATTAAGTCAAACTTTCTTACTTATAATGGGGTAATTTCATCATAAAATCATATAAAAAAGCTCTCAATAACGATATATCCAAAAACAATCTTTATAAAACACGAGGACCAATTATTCCAAATAATATAAGAATATTTTTTTTTATCAAACAAAGGCTCGAAAGATATGTATAATGTTTTATTAGAAAAAAATAGTACTAAACTTATCTGTAAAGACAAATGGTCCTTAAGACTGAACAAAAATTTTGATTGGAAAACCGTGCATGATATGTCTTTTTACTCCACAAAAAACTAAAAACTTCATTGGTTCCAGTACAGAATAATACACAGAATCTTGGGCACAAATAAATTTGTATTTAAAATTAAAATAAAACAAAGCGATAAATGTACTTTCTGCAATGAAGCTATTGAAGATATTGAACACATATTTTGGACATGCCATAAAATAGTAGATCTGTGGATAAGACTCGGTGACTGGATTTATAACCAGACACAAATAATAATTCCGTTTAACATGGATATAATTTTATTTGGAAACTTAGGAAAAACAGGAAATAATAAAATAAAAAACTTAATAATACTATTATCAAAACTCTTTATTTATAGAACAAAACTATGTGAAAATCAAGTAAATTTTACAGGGCTCAAAAATTATCTCAAAGAAAATCTAATACTGGAAAAGAATGTATTTTTTAAAATTAAGCCTCTTCACATTGCCAATCTCTGCTGGGACCCCTGGCTTCCATTACTAGAATAATTTATACTGAAACAACTTAGCATTACCTTACGTAATGTTACTGTGTATATTGTTTAGCCTTCTCCACACCACCATATATGTTTTATGTTTTATATATTATATTTTATATGTTGTTTATTGTTTTTTGTTCATGTTTGTGCCTATAACCACATGTATGTTTTTAATATCTGTTTGTGTTTGTATGAATTTTTACAACAGAAAACCATCCTTGCCAAATGTGTTAAATGTTGTTTTTTAAGACACATTTTAGTTTTGACCAATATACAATAAGAAGCTCCTGTGTGAAGTTAGTCTCATATGAATAAAGGAACAAGTCGGCATGAAGAGGAGCACAGCTGGTTCCAATTGGAATGACGAGTGCTTTTTTTAAATACACGTCTCTAAACGTAACAAATATGTTGTCAATCAAGATATCAAGCATCTTGATAATGTCACTTTTAGAGAACCAGAGTGATTTTTACGACGTTTCTAAAATTGTCCGTTTATAAATTTTGAAATTATATGAAACTAAGGTTTTAACTCCCTCAGGCAAAGTTGACCTTAGATAGATTTGGCTATTTTTTTAGGTCCTTTCTGGTCATATAGCTCTTCAACTGTTTAGGTTATTATACATTCTTGATTTTCAAATATTCGGCTTTGAGCGTTCCTGATGAAGGTAAATCCAGAAAAGCGCTTCGGACGCATGAAATTATTTAACGTGTTGTTTTCATTTTTTTCAGTTATCTCGGTCTCATAAATCGACGAAAGGATTGTTTCTCTCGAAAACCTTTAAAGACTATTAAAGATTGAAAATTGAATAGTAACTCATAATGGCAACAACACACGATAACTATCAAACGAATTTAATATTTCAGTAAACTGAAGGTTGCATTTTAATCAGGGTAAATAATGACCTGACACAGGTCATAATTATACGCCTTGAAGCAGGACATTTCATTGAAGCTTGGTATCGCAATCACAAAGGCCAAGTTTTAATCTATTTTTTTTATTTTTTTCAAATTTGTATTACAGCTTTATTAATTATTGTTGTTTAGATCAAATATTTAGAGACAATATAATATAAAGATATAGATTTGCATTCAAATTTTACATAAGATTAAATGAAACCAAGATTTAGATATCTGTTGAGTTCGTAACTTTTTCGTATCATATGTTATCATGAGTTTAAATATTTATAAGAAAATAAATGATAATAATCACTTAACAATGTAAGACGAACATCTTTAGTAGTTTCAAATAGATGTTAAAACACTACCTGTCCAAAATATTTATTTTGATGGAACCTGGATCAAGAATATTTTTTAGGAAACGTGTCGTCCACACTGTAATCATACCTTTAACTACATCTGGTTCTACGACAAATGAAACATTACCATTGCACACTACAGTATTACTTCATACAGCAACTGGGAGGTAAACACTATGAATAGCAATGAGATATATAACTACCACTTGGTTGTTACCAATTCGCATTCCAATCAGACATATATTACTACTTGTTAGGACGTTACTATTGAACACTACGATCATACTTATGACAACTACTGGTTCGTTATTTAGGCACCATTGCGCACCACAGTCCCAAGTATTACTACCACTGTGCCGTAACATACAAAGAATGTGGTAAGGTTAAATATATTGGTGAGCGGTCAGCACATTCTAACACGTGACAGTGTATAACCGTATAAAATAGGAACAAACTGTAGAAACAGCTAGAAAAGGCTTTACTCATCAGATCGGCATTCAGCACACTAAAACACCCTAATCAAAACACAATTTACTGATCTATGAGAACTCATATTTCTTGAAAGCTAGTTCAAGCTATTTCAAACTAATAAATAAACCAAGTTTTCCCAGATCAATAAGTACACATACAATCGAGTTCGTTTAAAGCCGTCATAATAAGTCTTTGAAAAGTATGACCTTCCAAACTAAAGTATCCACAGGATGTAGGAACATCTACTGAAAGTGACATCAAACATCAACAATCAATCAATCATTCATAAAATGTCTTAATGTGTTTATCCTAATTCTATTCTAGTAGAAGTTCAACCTGTTGGAAAAGTGTGATTCATAACAGTACTTAAAGGAATTGGGCATTTTCTTTCTTGATGTTTTTCTATAAATACATGTTTATTTACAAAAAGTGAAAAAAGATACCAAAGGCACAAACAATAATCATAAGTCGAAGAAAAACCGGTCATACCATGACACACATTTAAAACGACGATTTGACAAACAACTACATGCAAAAATACATATAAAACTAAAAACTGAGCAACCATAACCACAACCTCTAACCGGGTGTGATCATGGTAAGTACATCTTCCGTGATAATTATCATTCGGGAAAAAGATGACAGGATTGTGGTTACGACAATTGGAACATATCCATGGTCATCTGTGACACATATATTCCATAATGGTCGTCTAATCATTGTAGAGTCCATGTGTAAGAAGTTGTGTCGTTATACGAATTCGATAAACATGTAAGATATATTTGTTGCATACGAACGTTTTTATAAATACTGTTAATTTAAAAAGAATATATAAAAGAATTAAATAATCGTTATTTTGAATTGATTCTCTCAACAACAGTATTACAAGTACAAAAATAATGATAAACACACGGGAGTGACTTATAAAATATGTAAACGAAAGCACAAATACTAATTTAAACGATTTATAAAATGTAATATTGTATATACATACAAGTATCGCTTCGAACGAAAAATAATGAATCAGGCCCGAATGAATACGCTACTTAAGTTTGAATGTGTATTATCTCACAATACACTGTATCTTTTCATTTGTTTATATTATTTTTTTCGGTGACGTTTTCTGTTTTTTGGTAAGTGTAACTCTCTGTTTATAATCAGCTGTTTTCGAGTCGCATTTAGGATTAGCTTCATCTGAAGAAAATACTACACGTTTTCGATTGACACTTTGATTTTGTCGGTTAGTAGAAAAACTCAATTCGGTCTTATCTTCAATTTCTGACTTATCATATACATTGTTAACGTGTCTTGCATGGGAACGAACACTTTTTATGTGGATATCACACACATCTCTAGGATGGTGATCTAAAGGTTTGTTTCCCAGACCTTTCGACTGTTGGGCTCGTCCACTCACAGCATAAAAGGCATCATGGTCAAAAATTTCATTCTCTATAATGATAGTTGTATTAGACAGACCTGATTTCTTACATTTTTTAGTGGTTTTATTTCTATGATAATTTTTCCGTATGGAACAAAAGCATCTTGACAGGTCCGCTGCTATAATCAATGCTACTGGTACAATAAGAAGAACAGAGAGTCCAGAGCCAACCGATTGTGCAGATTTTCTGCGATTTTCTGCCGATGTTCTCTTCCTGATAGCTTTCGATAAATTTTTCTTTTTGACTGCGATCAGTGGTTTTATATTAGCGTCGAAATCTTCCAAGACCAGTTGTCTTAGTTCAGCATCTGAAATATCTTTGCCATCAAGAAAATGCCATTTGGTATTGACGAATCTTTTCTGACAGCTACACAGCAACCGTTTGGGTCTCATTCCTATTAAAATAATTTAAAAAGTAAACTGTTGTATAAGTTATAACCTTACTTTTTTATGATTCTCAAAGAAGGTTAAGAAAAATTCTTAAAAAATACAAATGTAACTAGAATATTTCTACTGTCAATTGAGAAACTTAAAGATAAATGTGGTCACACATTATTAAGACACATCTAACTTATTGTGATTTTAACAGTCAAATAGATAAAAGAATTTATATTTTTCTCATATAGTCAAGCATTTAGTTTTGTCAGGTATTATGGACTTTTCCTTTTTTAATTTACCTTGGAGTTCAGTATTTTTGTTACAACTTTTTTACACAGTCAACTAAAGACTAAGCTACACGAAACCAAACAATAGTTGTTTTGCATTATTTAATATTTTACTCAGACTGACAAACAATTCTAAAACATGTAACTATAGGTATTGACACAACTACTCACTAAGTGTACTTGATACACGTATCTTAAAAAAAACTCGATTATTACATCCCAACTCCTTTGTTCTAATTGGGGTGATCTGAGTCGGAACACCCTACCAGATCAACCTACCTCGAGTTTCTTTGTTCTTCATACTTTCTTTTGTTCTGTAACATTTTGGCGGGAATGTCGAACACACAATAAAACTTAGAAATATTCAAGCGAAATAAAGACCAACTTTTTTTCAAAATTATGTCGAAAAAAAACACTAAATTTCCAGTGTCTAAGCGGGGAATCGAACTCAAGACCTTTAGCATATGAAGCCACGATTCATACCCCTACACCAGGACGACTGGACACAAACTCAATGTTAATTTGATATATTTAAACGTTGTATCCGGGGCTCATAAAGGGTATATACTATATAGCAAGATATAACATATATATATATAAAGTATATTATAATTATTGTATGGCATTCTGAACTAGATGTTATGAAGCGTAAATGTTTTTTCGTATAGTATAGAAGAGCTTGGATGTAAAATAGTTATCCCACTCGGACTTGGTGTGTCAGTGTAGGATCACCCTCCGGCCTCCGGCCATCGGGGTGATCTTACACTGACACACCGCATCCTCATGGGATAACTATTACAGATATATCAGTATATTTGTTGTTGATGAGCGTTCTTGATAAATGTTAATTTATAAAAAGCGATAGATATAAACTTTAATTTATTTTCTCAGCAACGGTATTGCACGTATGAAATGGAGATCAAAAACACTATTATAGTAACTGATTTTGTTAGTACGAAAAGTAGATGGCTAAACGTAAAAACGATCGATGAATGATTGAAATAAACTTTTGGGGATCAAGAAGCAAAATAAACATTTTTGGAAATGCTGAAAAACGCGTAATTTGTTTATTGAGCATCTAATTATATTCTTGAAATTTTTGAAAAACTGATTATCTGGTAAAATTAAGGAATATATTTTATTATAGCATTAACCTTTTAGTCACCATGACACCCATCAAAGAGTAAGATTAGATATACAATACTGGAATTAATCAGAAAACGTATTCGTTTTTTAAAAAAACGCACAGTGTCACAGCTTTTTTTTTACGAATTACAAATAAGAACACATAAACCTCCTGACTATACTGACCTGCTGTTGTCACACTACTTTGTGTATGTGAGACCGTAGTAACTGAACTATCAGCCGTTGCTGTTTTACTTTTTGTATATATTCGTGTACTTCTATCATTGTTTAACACAGTACTTTGTGTTTCTGATAGTGTAGAAGTTGATGAGTCACTCATCTCTATTACACTAAGTTGTGTCATGTTGCTTGTGCTATTTCCAAACATATTTTTGGCCCAACATCTATATTCCCCTTGGTCTGTTAGCTCCACGTCATTGATGGTCAAAGAAGGATTGTTTGTCGTAGATCCTTCGTACTTATTTTGTGAAGCAAATGGTGACGTAGTTACAGGATTGTATGTCGATCCTGTAACGGATGTAAATATCCACTTAATATGGTCCACAGAATCAATTGGTGACCCAACTTCACAAGTCAGTATTTTCTGTCGTCCAACAATTGCTGTTATTTGTGCAAATGGAATATTTACGCTTGGAGGGCAACCTATATTAACAAAAACAATTTAATTACTGTCGGATCAGTTGAGGAGCACGGTTCTAATAGCACCGTTACATGATGATTACTTTTAGTGTTATTTGACAGCTTTTTTCAATGCAAAGTTCAAATATTTCTATGGGCTAGGAAATGTGGTCATAGACATAATGTTGAATCATGCAACATATATTTTGCTCTTACCTTGAATTTTTTACGTGCAAATAACTCACTACAAAATCACGATTACGATTTTATTCTTGTCGCTGGAGGGTATATATTTGTATTGACCAATACGTAAAATTACATTGGACATAACGCTTCCTTTTTATAAGTTCATAAGTTAATTTCATTTAATTCTTAGTTGAATTTTGTTTTAGATTTTAATTTCTTTTTTTATTTCAATACTCATCTCGAATATTTTTAAATTATGATTTTAAAATACTTATCGCAATTAGTTTTATATTTGCATCTAATTTAAACAGAATATCCTTTTGTTGAAGGGTTTGTAACGGATAAAACCGCGAATTTCTTACTAAAAACATTTAGAAATGCACTAAGATACATTCCTTATTCAAAATGATTTTATGAGATTTCTAACAGCATCCGTATCTTTATGCCAATACAGAAGTACTGGGCTAGTGGACTGGTAATATCCTCAGGGATTAATAGTCCACCACAGATTACCAAATAATAATAAAGCCTTTATTATTGGCTTGATATTATTTAATAAAAGGTGGTTATTCGAATCCAGTTTTTTGCCATAATAAAGTTCATAAAGCTCACAAATTAAGAAATCGTTTTTGAAATCTGTCTCTTTGTATTACCGACTTATTGATATATTCATACTGTTGTTCTACGTTTACCTTGTCTGGTAGTTTTATGGTTCACATCAGTGCTAAATTGTAGTTTGAAACAAAAAATGAAACAACACTTGAAATGCCATGCGGCCGGAGCGCTTTTATTGATATATCTACACCAGGAACGCTCAAATCCGAATATTTGAAAGCCAATGATGTATAAGAACCGATACAGTTGAAGAGCTATATGGCAAAAAAGGGACCTGAAATAATAGCAAAATGTAACTTTCCCTTAGGGAGTTGAAACCTTAGTTTCTTAATAATTTATAAATTTATAAACGGACAATTTAATAAAGGTTTGTTCTTACTCACGTTAGTACCGAAGTACTGACTACTGCATGAGCTGATGAAACCCTGGGGACTGATAGTACGCCAGCAGTGGTATCGACCCAGTGCTTAAAAAATGAAAACAACGCTTTTCTGGATTTAAATTCATCAAGAACGCACAAAGCCGAATAATTGAAAGCCAAGGTGTGTCAGTACCGAAAGAGTTGAAGAGATATATGACCAAAAAAACCTAAAATATAAGCCAAATCCACCTCAGGTCAACTTCGAGTGAGGGAATTGAAACCTTAGTTTCTTAATAATCACTGAGAATTACATGTTCCTTACTTGGGACAGGCACACATAGACTGTCGCGGGTTAAATCATAGTTATGGTCGCCCATCTCTCCCCTTACCTGAGACAGAGTAGTACAGCAAGCAATAAAAATCTGTAATTTAAGTTTACACACTATGTGAACGTTTTCCTCTATAAAATGTGCCTTCGCGTTCTCGGTGTAATGTGACTTCCATTTTGCAACACCAAATGACAACACGACATTTTTTTTTCTATATTGATTTATCACTTTTTAATAACATGATGTATTACAGAATGAATTTTGCAAACATTAACTGCATATTAACATAAGAACAATAATACAATTTTGTAAGTATTTGTGTGTACTGTACGAAAGTTCGATGGCATTCCAAGATTTTAGTAAGAAAATATTGTTACAAATGCCAAAACATGAATTAAAACAGTATTTAGAATTAATTGCATATTTGCATAAAAATGATAATACAATTTAATAGTATTTTGGTGTATTGTCTGAACGTCCGATTGCGTTCCAAGATTTTTGATAATTTAGTTATAAAATATTGTTACAAATCCATATAGCACCTTTCATAGAGGACACAGTTTACATAGTGTGGTTTAACTGCACCGTATGTGTCTTGTAAATTTGATCTGACTTAATCATTAGTTTAACATCTAAGTGCTATTGCATTAATGTGAAGTCACTTAAAAAATATGATTTTAATATAAACCAAAGGGCGTTGTTTCAAATACAAAATACTTCACTTTATACTTCTTTTGTAAGTTTACTTTACCTAATGTCGAAATTGTAACATATGTAACTGCATAAGAGATGTTCACTCCCCCGCAATATGTGCTGTTACTACCAGGACATATCGTGTTGCAATTTGCAAAATCTCTTTTGTATGAACTAGGCGGTTTATTCCTTAGACAGTAACAATACTCATCCTGAAAACAGATAGTTATAGAAAGTTTATGTATTAACCGTATTCTTTCTTTATTTTACCAAACTGTGCTTATGCAAGTAGAGCAAAATGATATTGTAGCAACAACTGTTTAACATCTTAAAATAAAGAGCCGTGATATTATTATCAGTAAGAGACAATTAATCCACCTGAGACCAAATGACGTGGATGTAAGCAACTGTCGGTCACCATACGGCCTTGAGCAATGAGCAAATTCCGTACCATATATTTAGCGATAAAATACCCCGACATTACAAAATGTAAAACAACCAACGGCATGATTTATGATAAAACAATAAACGAAAACCAAAAACCACAGACAGCAACGTACATTAACCACCGATTGATAGGCTCCTTGGCTACTTGGGACAGGTACATACATAATGTGCTGAAGTGAAACATTTTTGCGATCGTTTAATCACTTGCTTTATCACATTCCTACAGTTGTGAAAAAGACCAACATAAGATCAAATCAAAAAAAATCATTTGGAAAGGAATTCAATCCCCCGATCGATACGAAATACTAAAACGTACAAAAAGACACAAAGACAAAAACTCAAAAAGTACCGATCTCAGAATACTCGGAGCTACTGAAAGCTAGTAAGATGTAAATTACAACAATAAAAAAATCATGTTTTCCCAGAAATAAATATCAATCAGTATAAATTCAACAATTTTCGTGTGAAGACGTTATGAACAATCTAAGAAAAGCATGAACTTGTGTAATGCCAAAGAGTATCGACAGATATAGAGTCATAAGTGATCATAAGTAATACACGTCCCGATGAACTTCCAGAATGAATAAACTAAGATTTCATAATTGGAGGACTGAAATAAATTTGGTAAAAGTAAGTTACCCGTCTTGGATATACAAGTAATAAAAGACAATATCAGCCTTGAGACGGACATATACTTCAAACCAACAGATTCCAAACAATATTTATTATTTAATTCATGTCACCCAAAACATACAAGAACCAATATTCATTTTAAATTAGCAAAACGAATTTGTACTATAGCATCAGATAAATATACTCGCGATATCCGTTTAACAAAATAACGACAAGTTCTTATAGACAGAATTATCCAGTTACAATAAAAGACAACGGATTGGCGAAACAAATGTAATATATATACTGCGAACAACCAGAACAAAAGATAACACCTATGTATTAACATATTTTGACCTTCAATCCAAGAAAAAATGAAGCCTATAATATCATTTATACAAATTTACCAACGCTAAAACATAACTCAAGAATGGGAAGGGCCATAGAAGATAAAAATATAATCAAAAGTGAGCGACAACCGAAATCTTTGAAAAAACTGTTAACCAATGGTCGATTGCCAGGTGATAATAGTAAATCTTCTGTTAAAAAATGCAGACGACCAAATTGTGGAATATATAAAAGCCTATCTGAAGGTTTCGAATTCCATTTTAAACAAGGTCAACTATTTAAAATAAAATCTGATTTTTACATTCGTAGAAACGTCACGTTCCGTAATATAGCATTACAGATGTAAACAAGATTTCCACAGCTCCGACTGCAAGGGATTTCCTCCTTTTAATGAGAGTTTCCATACAGTGTACAAGCATTTAAGGTATGTATATGGGTAAACTGACACTTACACCTTACAAAGCAGCCAACAATGCTATTGTTTAACATACATTATAAGTAATTTATCGAAATATTGAAGACAAATATTACATAAGAAATCAACAAATTTGATTTATATTACATCAAGTCAATGGTCAACTACAAATGTTTCAGCTCTAATGACCAGTATTCTTACTTTAATACCAATTATTCAGACTGAGACAAACCACTGTCTGCTGCAGTTCTGGGGTTATCAAAGTTTTTTTTTAAAAGAAGTCATGGATTAGCTAAATTACTTTGAGGGTCAGTTTGTCTCCGTGGTCAGTTGTTTTATGTCCTTGCAGTGGCGTAGCTAGGCGGAAGCTCGGAAGCCAAGGCTTCAACGTGGTTTTGTCAACAAAAAACCATTATAAAAAAAAAAATAAAAAGGAGCTAGAGGGATGAGAGAGTGTGTAGGGGAAGAGAAATGGGCGCTGTGCGGTTAAATAAAAAAAGTTGTAGAAGTCAACGAGTCGATATAGGGAGACGGATTTATATAAGAAAAATTGTTTCCGAATCCCTGTATTTCTATTGTATAATTGTATTTTGTGCACTTTTGAAAATAAAATATTGTTTAAACTAACGAGTCGATATCACTTCTCAGACTCCCGGCGTTCATTCCCATCACCTGCGCTTTATTTCACCTCTTTTTATAGCAGACGAATATTGTGTCTGCGGGGTGTTCTGCTAGTTACAATGCAACGCAGATTTGACAATGTCTGTGACCAATGCCACAGCTGAACGCAGTTTCAGTGTCATGCACCGGGTTAAAGCATATCTGCGTTCTACGATGACAATCGAACGACTTTCGGGGCTATGTATCCTTCACGCATACAAGGAGACGCCCATTGATAAAGTAATTGACTGTTATGCAACCAAAAAGGACAGGAGGCTTGCTTTTTTTGTTTAAAGTCACTGGTGAGAGAGATTGACTCTGACTCTCTTAATATTTCATATCCACACATAAGGTTTCGACCGGCTGTATCTACAAAGTGAAATGTTCCTCGAACAATAATCCTACTGAGTTTGTATTTTTAAATAAAACAAGACAATTTTTTTAGTTTATTCACTGACAAACATGGCAGGAAACTTGGAATCATGTATAATGTTGTATCATAAATATTGCTCAGCTTTAATACAACCAAAGACAAGGATGAGCCATCACCTTCGTTTATTTTTATTTAATTGACCTCGTAAGTTGTATTCCGCTGCCCATCAATTTAAAAAAATAAGATGTGGTAATGATTGCCAATGAGACAACTGTTCACAAGAGACCAAATGACACAGAAATTAACAACTATAGATTACCGTACGGCCTTCAACAATGTCAGCTAAAAAGGGCCCCGAAATGCCAAATGTAAAACAATTTAAACGAGAAAACTAACAGCCTGATTTATGTACAAAATCATGAAAGAAAAACAAATATGATACACAGCAAAAAACGACAACCATAACACTGAATTACATGCTCCTGACTTGGGACAGGCACATACCGAATGTGACGGGGTTAAACTAATTTGAAGGCGCCAACCCTGCCCTAACCTGGGTACCCACTATATTAAACTGAATATATTGTGTACATTCCATCTCCAAACAATTCATAATGGTGTGGTTTTTATTATACTGGTCTTAGTAAACATAACTTTTTTACCCCTCTGGAATCTCCTGGTTTTTACAGTTTCTTTGAGGAACAATATATATTTTTTCACAAAATTATCTGACTTGTATCAAACAAAAATGCTTTTGACTACACCTTAACATTCAATATTTTCAGTTAATATTTGTGGGTCTAAAACCCTAAAATCCAGGAGCTTCCGGGGGTTTCGCCCCCTGGCCCCTACCAGGGCTTTGCCCTGGACCCACTGGGGGCCTTGAGCAGACCCCCGGCCGATTTGGGCTTCACCTTCAACATTTGTCTAGCTACGCCACTGCCTTGTTACATGTAGAACACTATTTCAACACTCTATCAAACAGAAATCAATTGAATGATATAGTCTTTTGATATATCCAGCAAAACTTTATCTGTGGTAGTTGTTCAACTAAGAAAGCTGACATTAGAAGCTAATATAAACTAATTGCAAAACAATTTAAACCAGAAAACGAAGGGTCTAAATTATATACAAACAAGTATGACAGACAGCAACCAAGGTCAAACACTGAATTACAGGCACTTGGCTTAGGACAAGCATATAAAGAATATGTTAAATTGAAGTAGATATAAGCAAATATAGGCAACTGTGCGGTCTTCAATAATGAGAAAAACCCATACCTTATAGGCGGCTATAAAGGCCCGGCATGAAAAACAATTCGAACGAGAAATCTAACGGCATTATTTATAACAAAACATTTTACGAAAAAAAATATGACAGACATGAACTAACGATAACCATTGAACTACCAGCTTCTGACTTGGCACATAAAGAATGTGGCGGGGTTAAACATGTTTGTGAACGAACGCAAACCCTCCCCTAAACTGGAACAGTGGTGTAAAAGCAAAACATAAGAACTAACTGAAAAAAAATAGTTTGAAAGGCCTCGACTCATACGATCTGTACGAAACACAAAAACTAACAAAAATAAAAAGAACACAAAGAACCGAGGTAAGAGGAATCGCAGAAACTGAAAGCTAGTTCAAAGTCAACTCAAACTACAACTTATGAATAATTTCACTTTCAGATACACTGATGATGTCCTTTCTCTCAATAAGCCACATTTCAGTGAATGCTTGCATCTCGATTTCCTATGCACTTAAAATCAGAAGCGTAAAAAAATGTGCAAAAAATTGAAGAGCTTCTGTTTCTCAGTGATTGCTGGGTCGGAAATTTTTAGCCAATCTTTTTTCTATTGTATATGCAATAGAACATAGAGTTGTCTTTCTTTCTACAGAAAATTGAGATATCTCAGTTTTGTTAATTATGATAAAGGAAAGATATAAAAAGTATTAGATTATTGTTTTAATTACACTAAAGAGATAATTACGGTCGAAAAACAGAAAATTGGTTCCGTTAATTTATCACTACTGACAAAGCAACAAACAACCTTGTTGATGTTTGACTGAAAATAATGATCTTGCCAAAACTTTATAAATTTCGTGTTATTACTACATTCACTTATATATATTTTGAATCTACATATCCTTAGATATACAGACACTTTATAAAGATTCTTGTTATTGCATTGAGAAGGACATTTTTAAAATAAATTCATTATATGTGTCAGTGTTTTTTCGAGAGCCGTGCGGTTTTTTTTTTAGTGCGGTCCAGGATTTGATCGAGTGAATAAATAAAATTTCCATTGGTTAAAATGTTATATATATCATTGCAATTACGTTTAA